GAGTCCTTTCTTCCTTTCTTTTCGCTGCCACCATCCACTCTGTCTGGAGGCGCCTGTTCGAGCGATGTCCAGGGACGGTCTGCTGGGTTTTACCACAGACCCTACAGACGTCTTCTACGATATTCCATCGGCCGAGTGCTTTCCAGCTCCCTCCCTTCGCCTTCCTTCTGCCCTCTCCGTTCCTTTCATCTCCACCTCTCTGTCCCTCCCTCTCCCTCCTAACTGTCGTTCTCTTGCCTCTGTCCCGCACTCTTTTCTTCTCCAATTGCGTTAACCGGACTTCAGCTCCTTGTTCCATTACTGGGCTTCTGCATTCTGTGTGCGCTCCCGCGATGTCTCGATTAACGAGCGCTCAATTACCTCACGCCACCGCCAACCAATTTGCCGCCTACATCCTGCTCCTGTCGTCGCTCGTCAAGGCCGTCATCAACAATGAGGCGCGCTTGCGCTATGTGACGCAGTATCCTTTTTGTGGGTGGCTTCTTGCTCGCAACTACGCCGCCGTCCTCCCTAGTATCTTGCCCCATTAATCCACCCTCTTCGTACAAATACTAAATGTTTTGTTTTGTTTTACAGGCGCCTGCTTCCAGCCCCCACCCCAGTTTGGGCTCGCGCCGAGCCGCAGCGACTGCGCAGATGTGGTTACTGTGCACCTGTGCATATCCCTCCATTTCCCCATTTCCTCTTTCCCCTTCTCTTTGCCTTCTCCGAGGAAAGTGCGAACTCGTTCATCAGCTGCGTAAACAACCAAAGCGGCTGTGCATATACGGGACTGACTCACTCTGCGGGTTCCTGAAGTACTCTTGAATACTACGGCGCAATGAAGGGCAGCTCATTTAGATGATAGTTGTGCGTCATTACATTTAACCCTAGCACGTAACTTTGCATCTGATGCGTCCCTCATACGCTTCCTTTCGTTTTAACTTCTCCTTGTTCAGACATAGACGTCTTCCGAGCATGCATGGCCTTCGAGGTATTTCATTTACTTCGGATTTTTGTTCAGCAATTTGACTTATCAGCGCGTCAACTGCTCAACTTTCAAAAGATTTGCGGAATATTTGTGAGGCCTTGCGCGTTTCGTCCTTGAAAATATTTGCTCGCGTCAGTTACCTATTTCCCTCCACCCAAAGTCACCTCTTTTAATTTCATGGCTCAGCCGCCTTGAGTTTCACCCACTGATTCACTTTCGAACACTCTATGTACTTTGATTCCACCGTAGATCGGCGCTCCTTCATGGCTCGGCGATTTCAATGAGGTAAATCTCACATTTTGCTTTGCCTTGGCGCAATCTGACTCTTTTGTTTCGAGTTTCGACTTACTGTTGGTCCAGAGCGATTTCCGACTTGTCTCAGCGCATCGCCGAAGCTTATTCCCGTAAGTCGAATTACTGTTTACGTGATTTGTTCTGAAGGCTTTTCAGGGCTGGCGTTGTGTACTGCAAGTTGTGCTGGCATTTATCGGACACAAATACGATGCAAACTGATGCACAGTTCCATTTCAATGTAATTTGATGAATTGTTGTGAAATTCAATAAGCCGAAAACAACAAAAAAAGTAATCGTTTTCGCCGCGCGCAGCGTCGGCCTGCACGACCAAGTCATTTAGAACGCGCCTTTGACATTTTTCTCTCTTCGAATAGGCAATTCAGAAAGTGGTCAGTAATAAGCGGGCAGCTGAACGAGCGAAACGCAAGACGGTCAACAACAACACTGGGGAACCCACTCCCAAGGCCCTCAATGCGGACAAGCTCGCCATGGAGAAGCTCCTTGGCCTCACCACGTACACCGGTCGCGACAAATTCAGTGACGACCGCCACGACGTCATCTACGAATTCTCCAAGACGTTAGAAGGCTCCAACGCAGGTGGCAGGTTCCGCCACGCCGAGTCCCTACTGTGGGCAAAAGAAGACCAGGCTCAATGGGAAGCCGCCGCGGCGGCTGACGAGGACGTTGACTGGGAAGAGTAAGTCTGGCCGATCACACTCCTTTCACCACTAAGACTTGTTTAGACGTCAAAAGCTGGTCGCAAGTGGCTTCAAGCAAATGGTCAAGAAGCTTCACGCCACCCACAAGTTCCGCCCTTTCGTGGCCACCATGCTGATGACCTATCTGAGCGACGATGGGCGCCTGCGATTCGAGTGGCAAGTGATTCTTTACATGGCATGGCGTACCCACTTAATTACCGTGAAAGCAGGGCTGAGGCTGTTCCCGATGACATCCAAGTTCGCCAACCCTTCAAGAAACAAAACATGAAACTGGTCGATGAAAACGTGAACGCCATGCTGGCGTGGGCGGGACAGCCTCTGAAAGGTGAGAGATCGCTTCTATGATACGAATCAGCCTAACGTCTGCCGCTAGATTATCTGGCCATTCGTGATCGTTCCTCAAAGGGCCCAGCGCCTGTTTTTCCTGTCACCGCGGAGGACATCAGCAACATAGCGCCCAAAGCTCTGGCGGAGACGGTCACCAAGTTCTTAACTCAATCTTATGGTGCGTCATTTTTATCTCTGGGAAATGTGTACATTCTGAGTCGTGACTTTCGCAGAGGCTGCGTTTGGGAGTGGAGAGATCCCTTGGGCTGCGATCGTTCGCAAGCCCAGTGAGTATTACAATACCGAGAACTTCCCATTCAGTTTCACGTCGAACGGGCTGGCTGAGTTGACGCTCCCGCAGTGGTACGATTTATCTAGCACATTGTCGGCCGTTGCGGGTGTCGGGACTGCAGGGTTCTTTCGGAAGGCTCCTTCGGCTCAGCCTCCGTCGCGCTCTGCGTCCCCCACACATCCTCCTCCACCTCCATCGCGCTCTGCGTCCCCGACACGTCCTCCTCCGCCTCCATCACGCTCTGCGTCCCCGACACGTCCTCCTCCGCCTCCATCACGCTCTGCGTCCCCGCCACGTCCATCACGCTCTGTGTCTCCCGCAGGCCCACCTCCGTCACGCGCTGCGTCCCCTGCAGCCCCACCTCCGTCGCGCGCTGCGTCTCCCGCAGCCCCACCTCCGTCGCGCGCTGCGTCTCCTGCAGGCCTACCTCCGTCGCGTCCTGCATCCCCCATGCATCCTCCTCCGTCGCGCTCGCCGTCCCCTGTGCATCCTCCTCCTCCTCCGTCGCGCTCGCCGACCCCAGAAAAGGTCGAGGAGCCGAAGAAACATGGGAGCGAAGACCCACCGAAGAAACGTGGGAGGAAGCGCAAAGCCCCCACACAGCTCACCCGGGAGGAGGATGACGCCGCTGAACACGGTGAGGGGAGCGGGAGCGCAGTGCGGCGCACTGCGAGAGCACGGAAAACACCCGAGGTAAATGTTCATTAGCGCTTCCCATGACTGGAGAATCTGATTTGAATCCATAGGAAGCGAAATTGGAGCGTGAGAAGCAGCTCGCAGCGGCGACTGGCGTCAAAGCGAAACCGAGGTGAGTTCAAATTGAATGTAGCATTACTGGTGCTGATTATCCCTTAGTTGGGAGTACGTTGTGAGGAGTCCCGCCAAACCCAAGCAGCAGCGCGGAAAAAGGTGTGATAATTGTATTTGACGGGTTGGCGGAACTGATGAGATTTTAGAACTTGAGTCACCGCGTTTCAAGTGCCGCGCCGCAATTCAAGTCCCTACTCGCTTGCTACTTAGGTTTTATGAATATATACGACTTTTGCATTTTTGCTTGATCTTAAGAGGTGCGCCCAGGAGTTTAAGATCCAGGTCCAGTACTTGAGATCGAGATGACCTTGCAAGCACTATACCTTCCCTCATTTCATCTACTTCGCAGGATTTGAAGACCGTGGATCTCAAGACGGGCACTACTTCAGATTCAGGTGCAGTACTTCAGATCGAGATGACCTTGTATATGTGTATTATTTCATGTACTGTACTTAACAAAATCTTAAGACATGTCCGTACTTGAGAGTCAAAAGCGATCTGGGCACCACAATCTTAAGATGAGCTAAAAAAGTATTTGCGCTATGATCGCCGATCCGCCTGCCAGTTGAATTCCAACATTTCTAGTAGGAAATTCTAGCGCTACTGTATTGGACCAGCACTACACGAAATTTCAGTAAGTCCATATGATCGGCAGGGTTTACTTCCAGCAGTATATCTGTTTCGGGATCTGCACTAGTAAGTAAGGGCCTGATCGGGTGCCCCAGAATTTTTTCTAGAATTTTCCCAGAATCTGATATGTGCCATTCTCGTCCCTAAACCCCCCCAGAGTCCTTGAAATAGTCATTTTATAAAGCCTTGAGTACGCGGAGTGGTAGAGGCGCTGTGATATAAAAATCCCTCGAGTTTCTGGAGTTCAACCAAGAATTCTTTGCTCGATCACAGGATGTGTGAGATATTTTGAAGCCGTGGCTTCCTGACCACTACACCTCGTCGATATTCGAGAAATACATGTATTTCCCATTCTGGATGGGTTTAGGCGCGTTGGGGGCCTGCTATTTCCCCCGAGCTCCGGCGAGGGGTGGGCGGGTTCGGTGCCAAGTATTTCCCCCGGGCTCCAGCGAGGGGTGGGCACGTTGGGGGCCTGCTATTTCCCCGAGCTCCAGCGAGGGGCGGGCGCGCCAAGTATTTCCCCCGAGCCTCTCTTTAAGTCGATCGCGCCACGACAGACCCGCCGCTTTCCGCCTCTCTCGCCATCTGGACCTCGCGCGCCACCCGCCATGCCTTGGCCTCCGCCCCGGCATCCGGCGCTGCCCTCGCATCGGAAAGTCGTGGTACGGGTGTGTCGTATGCCGTCGGTACTCATGGTCCAAGAGGCAGGCTGAGCTCGGAGAGGGAGTTGAGAGGAAGATGCGGGCTGAGCTGGACAAACAATAGCCGAACAACGGCATTATGTCGGATCCACAACATCTTCCCCGACGTTTCCTGAGTTCCTCGCTTGCGTAACTGGGAGGGGGGGGATGCAGAAGGTATGGCTAGGCCAGCACGGATGTTGACTGTGAGTTTGCGAGCGAACCCGAACGTCGGATTTATAATTTTTCAACACCAAAAAGGCAATCCTCCAGAGAAGCTGCTCCTGTCAGGTTTGAACTGACGATCTCACGATTTCGTCTGCAATTAACAGTCGTGCGCCTTAACCAACTGGGCCAAGGAGCAGATATGGACCACTGGCAGAGGTCTGTCTTTGTATCAACCCTGCAACGATTCGGAACAGATCGTTGTTGGGAAACTTTGAGCATCCTGCGGGGGTAGGCAAACCGTCTCGTTTTTTCTTTCTTTCTTTGGGCATGAGTTTTGGGCACGAGTTTTGGGCATGATATGATAATGCTGCACGTCCCAAGTTCCAACTAAACTCACTTGTCATTGAATACAAAGAAAGCCCAATTCGCTTTCGCTTTCGAGGTGTATTACATAAGTAATAAAATGAGGATTATGCGTGTAGGTTGGTTGATTGCCGGACAAGGGAGTTGGATTTTGGAAGAGGCTTCCGCAGGGCGCAAATATTATGCACGGTACTTGCGGCACTTTTTTTGGCGCCGGAGCGGTTCAAACTTCAGCGCATCGACTTGAGGAAGAAAGGCGTTGCATCCATTCTACACACGCGCGAGGATCGTCCCCGGGCCCGATCCTCGTAGGCTAAGTAGTCTCGATGCAACGATACGCTAGTACCCACCCCACTTGTACACTGACACTCTAAATTGTATTTCCGAGTCGCCGGTGTCGACATATCATGGAGTAGCGCGGAGCTTGATGTACGTCGATCGGATGCTCGCTCGGGCGTCCATCCACGAATTCGAAACAATAGTTATACCGAGTCTCGAGGTGTGCCCGAGTCGCGAGGTGTGCGTGGTTTCCAGAAAACGCCCAGGCTGATTCGCTTTCTTGTGTTGGGTTTCATGGTTGAAGCTCGGCTTGCGGCTTCGTTGATTGCCTTTTTGCAGTACTTGATACTGGTGGGTCGCGGATCGACTTTGGTGTATCTGTGTGCTAGGGCATCCCACCTCACAACATACGCAGATTTAACTAACGTGGAGTACTTTCTGGCAGAAATTCGAAGTAATATTTAGTGATACCGAGCCTCGACGTACTAGTATTGTGGAGTAAGTACTGTGGATGCAGCGCCCAGACTCAGCTCAGACTAGTAGTGCGAAAAATGTGTGTGATTCCCATGGAGTTCCCAGGCTAGCCCAATCCGTTTTCGAGTTATAAGATGAGTATTGCCGCACAATGAAGTTAAACATTCAAAGGGCCGGATCCCGCAAAAATCATACATATACTGTACTTACTTGGTAGCGGTTCTTGTTCGTGCACCGACGGTAGGAGAAACTGAAGGCGTTCTCGGGATACACGCGAGGATCGTCCTCGGCTTGGATGGATGATGACTGCCAGTGAGAGTGTTATACTCGTACGCAATGCGGGAATAGTACTCGACTCGACCCACCCCACTTGCACAGGCAGTTGGCAGGAGTAGTACTTACGCAGATCTTAACTCACGCGTCGTGGAGTATCATACTCCCCTGCCTGGCAGAAATTCGAAGCGATACTTAGTGATCCCGAGTCTTGCTCGGCGTATTGTGGAGTACTGTACAGTGGACTGGCAGAAATTCGAAGCTGAGCCCAGAGCAGAAGATGCGGAGAGTGCCGGAGGTGTAGTGTAGTGTGTGATTCTAACGCCAAGCCGTCGTAAAATGACGATTTTCATGTTGAATTTCACGGTGTTCAAATAGGTTCAAGCTCCGCTCGGGTTGATTGATTGCCGGACAGCGTCATCGTTAACTTGGATTATTTCAAAGGAATTTATGTACTTACTGCAAGCAGTACTACTACTAGTACTAGTACACGGCGCTGTTTCGTCGCCGTTCAAGTGCGCCGACGTTAGAACTTAGAAGGAACGGGCCATCTCGGGCATCCACTCTTTCTACACACGCACGGATCGTCCTCGGATGGGACGATGATGATGACTGGGAGCGGTATACTCGTCTCGATGCGATAGCGCTCTACCCACCCTAGTCTCGATGCAACGATACGCTACCCACACCACTTGCACACTCACACCACTTGCACACTCTGAATTGTGTTCGCGTTTCGCCGGGCGACGTATCATGGAGTGCTGTATGTACCTGTACTGCCAGAAGTTGGAAGCCGGGGCGGTGATGGGATTTTCTGCGTTGAAACTTGCGAAAAGAGATGGGTGGAGTGGGCTGAGCGCTGAGCTTTTATGACCGTTACTAACTTACGCGGCTCGACGGAGGCAAAACGGAACGCAGATCAATTAACGCGTGGGAACTGTCAATCACGATAACGCTCGATCTCAGGTAGATCTCGGAAAGCGGCGTTATGCGCTCTTCCCGATCTGGCGCGAAATCCCAGTCCACGGAATCCTGGGCTGTGCGTGGACAGTCGGTTGGCAGACAGGCAGCTCGGATGCCCCTTGCAAGGAGCTGAGAAGGCTTATATCACTGCTCGCTGCAAAACAAACGCCATGGCGCGCCCTGCTCCCCTCTCGTTTATCGCGCCCGCAAATAATAACGCCACCGCCAACGCCAACGACGATGAGCCGCCCTCCCCGCCCGCCGCCGGCCCGTCCCCGCCATTGACGCCGCGCTCGCTCAGCTTCCTCACCCCACCCCCGCACGCCGGCACCCCGCCCGCCCACCCGTCATCATCGTCGTCGTTCTACCCGCCCACGCAGAACCCGTTCTCCCCGCCCGCCTCCGTCCTCTCGTTCTCCGCGTCCCCGTTCAACACGCCCGGGGACACCCCCGCGCAGACGCCGGGGCACAACCCCAGCGGCAGCGGCAGCGGGTACCCGTTCCCGAATTTGTCCCCGGGGAGCACGCGTGCCTCGTCGCTCGTCGACGTCCCGCGCGCGTTTTCGACGTATTCCATCGGCGGTGGGGGCGGGCCGCGGAGCAGTTTGAGTCGGCCTAGTACGGGTGCCAGCGCTGCGCCGAATCAGCAGCAGCAGCACGCGCCCTCGTCGTCGCTGAGCGCCAGCGCCAGCGCGAGCTCGAACAACGTCGACGCTGGCACCGGGCGGCCCACGAAGCGCGAGGCGTTCGCGTCCCCGCCCGCGCGCCCGCTCACGATCTACGCCGCCCCCAGCACCGCTCGTCTGCGCCGCGGCCGCCCTAAGAGCACCGCCATCCTCGTCCCCAGCCGTACCATCCCCGCCGAGGGGGAGGAAAAACGTCGGTTGCCTTCCTTGCCTTGCCTTCTTTCTTTCTCTAATCTGCCGTCTTTTCTCTTCTCTAATCTGCCTTCTTCTGTAATACTAATTTGCCATTTCTTTGACTCGCAGCGCCGAAGAACGCCCGCCCCGAGCTGAACACGACGCTCGTGAAGCCCTGGGTCGGGACGCGCGACCCCCGCTCGCGCGTCGCGTATTGGATCACTTATGCGACGATTTGTCTGGGTGGGTCCTTGTCTCTTTCCCTGGTTGCGTCCCTTCCCTTTCCCTTCCCTTCTTCGGCCTCTTATTCTCTCTCCCTTCCCTCTCCTCTCCCTTCTCCCTCCTCTGCCTTCTCTTTTTTTCCCTTCCCTTCCCTCTTACCCTCTTTCCCTCGTCCCCCCTCCTGCCCTCCCCTCTCCCACCCTTTCCCTTTCCCTCCCACTTGCTTTCCCTTTGCTTCGTTGGGTCCCTGTCTCCCCCCTCCCCCTCCCCTTCCCTTTCCCTCGTTGCCTCCCTTTCCCCCCTCCTTCCTCGCCTTTCCCCTCCGTCCTCCTCCGTCCTCCTCCACCTCCCCCCCCCCACTGCTTTCTCTCATTTTCCCGTAACTCACGCTACCGCTCACAGGCCTCGCAGGCGGCGCCCTCCGCGCCTACACCGGCTACACCTCCGTCCTCCTCCTCCACTCCCCCCTCTGCCCCGTCCTCCTCGAGGACTTCTCCAACACCACCACGGACCAACTGTTCGGGAGCGGCGTCGCGGGCGAGGGGGGCGTGTTTTTTCGGGAGGTGGATGCGAGTGGGTTTGGGTGGGTGTTTTCCTCCGATTTGTGACTTTGTTGGGTGCTGGGTGGTGGGCGGGTTTTGGGGTGGGGTGGTGAAGGGTGCTGCGTGCTGCGCCTTGGTGCACGGTGCTGCGTCCTGATTTTGGCTGGCTGCGTTCCTTTCTGCTTGCGGCTCTTTGCCGGCTGCCTTGCTCTTTGCGGGCTGCCTCCCTGCCCCTCCCCCTCCTTCCTTCCCCTTCATGCTTCTCTACCCCTTCGCTACGCTAAAAAACACCGCTCCGCTACGCTAAAAATACCGCTCCGCTACGCTCGCTAACACCCCCCCTCACCAGGAACGGCGAATTCGAAATGACCACCGCCTCGGACGCCAACTCGTTCGTGTACAACAACCAGCTGTACCTCGTCCCCACGCTCACGAGCACGGTTATTCCGGAGGGGAGTATTTTGGGTGAGTGGGCGTTCCTCGATTGCTTTCTTGTTCTGTGGCCGAGTTTCTTGTCTTGCCCGAGCTTTTTGCCCAAGTTTCTTCGTGCTCGTTTTGTGTTTTGCTGCGTTGCTGCGTTCTGGCTTTCTTGCGTTCTTGCGTTCTTGCTGTCGTGTTCTTGCGTTCTTGCTTTCTTGCGTTCTTGCTTTCTTGTGTTCTCCTCCTTGCTGCGTTCTTCCTTGTATCGACTTCGTCGTTTTCTCCTTGGTTTTGTCGTTGTATATACGTACCCGCTTCACTTCGCCCCGCGTTTTCGTTCCCTTCCCTTCCTCCCTTCCTGCTCCTTGCTTCTGCGTTTTCGTTCTTCACCTATGCGCCTTGTTTTTCATTTTTGCTCGGCTCGCTGACGCCACCCCCCACAGACGGCGCGATCTACAACCTCACTGGCTGCACGTACAACATCACGCACTCGTCGGGGTACACCACGAGCGGACACGGCGCCGCGGGGATCAACAGTACGGCGGATTCGGGGGGTGCGTTTTTGTGTCTTTTTCTTCATCCTCTCCGTCGCCTTCTGCGCTCTCCCCTTGTGCCCTCTGCCTCGTCCTCGTCAGGGCTTCTGGCCCCTCCTCCCGCCCACGTCGTCCTCTCTCTCACTCCCCCGCCTCCCTCCCCCTCCCTGCCCCACCTCTCCCGCCACTCCCCTCACTTTTTTTGCCTCCACCTGGTCTTCGCTCCTCACCCGTGCTGACGCCTCCCCCCTTCCTCAGGCACCAGCA